CGATGGGCGGTCCAATCGACGGCTGTTCACGGATGTGGCTCCTGCAAAGCAGGCGGATCGAAAGAGTACGGGTATCAATTCACCCAGGAAGCAGTTGGAATCTAGCACCAGATCCTACGAATCTGCTTAAAGGGGTGTTAGTGGGACATAGATGGAACAAAGCATGACTGCGTTAGCTGCGCGCTGATTGGCTAACTTTCTATCCAATCAATGCCTAGCCCATACTTGGAGAACAGGGTAGAAAATTCTCGTGTTGTCAGGTGCATGCTGAATGTCTCAACCTAATCCGGTCAGTGCTAGTCAATCACGTGAATTACAAACTAGAAGCTTCTCATGAAAATACTATTAAAAATCTAACGTTGTATCGACTTTGTCTTCGCCTTCTTATCCCATTTAACCTTGCTATTTGGAATACAAATCTTTTCCTGTTCCACCGTGTTTTTGATTCTTTGGAACTTGTCCAGTGTATTGTGGTCAGAGAATACTAAGCGATAAGAAGTAGCTGGGAATTATTTAAGCGGGCGTTACAACATAAGGAACCGAGTACTAGGTTGGGGTGGCAAATCAATTAATAAGGAGTGAAACTTCATCAGTTGAGGTGGTTGGGACACATGGTACGATCGCCCAAATACCAATTGCCTCGACGAGCGATGTTGTCTGATGTAGTAGTCTGGGAAGTAGCTAGCGACGGCCACACTAAAACATGGCACAAATCCATGAAGTCACTGACGACTGGTCTGGGACATGTCAGAAGGTGTAGACTACCTGGTTGAGGTGCACATGATACTCGTAACCAGTGTTAGATACGTTGAATAATATGGCTCAAAATTGTTTGCGATACCGCACATGCATCCACTCTTTGTGTTCTCTCGAATTCTAATCCTCTGAATTCCTCTTGACCGTTTGTTCCTTTTTTATTTATTTCACTGGGATATACTTCTGGAATCATATCTTCGATCACTAATCATTTGGATTACAGCTAATACTTCTACTATCTCTACTACCACTATGGCCTTTGAATTTACAATTCGATCTTTCTGTGCTAATGTGGTATGGCAACTGGAACTGATGCACGTAGGTACGAAGTTCTACGTTGTAACTGATTGACTGACTATTTCCGATTTGTTATATTTGATAAATATACACTTTAAGTACATGATTATTAGAATAATTAGAAGGATGAAGGACAAATGCAATAGAAGGAATTCTAATCACTTATTAAACTACACACTGATAAGCTTAATACCCATTTTTGAAGTTACATTTTCACGAACTTCAGCGCTACAGAGAATATTAGTGGTAGATATTTGAATAATGTATGGTCAAGTTTTCATACTGCATTTTGAATAGAAATCAAGTTTTCGTGCTATATTCACATGACAATAGAAAAGCTATAGAAATAAGTACACTTTAAATGAATATGAACAAAAAATGTCGTGAAAAACCGAGGAAACTGAATCAGCAGCTGAGAAATAATTCTGCCAAGATTTTTTCACGTACCACTGATTTGTCAAGACCTGAAAATTCAGAAAGGATATTACTCCGTGGGAAGACTATTTTCTGAAACGACTTTACCTTACGAATTAAATCTAATTGGAATGCTACACATTAGCGAAGATTAAAGCAACGCGACGTTCATATAAATTAACTCGCCGATTTACAAATAAAAGACTGACACAATAACAGATTTAGTTCATTCACTAACAAATAATATTATTTTTGATTTTATTTCCCTTTACGTTTACTGTCACTTGTTTGTTTTAGATTTGAACTCAATTCCAAAATGAATAAACTATTTGATCACCGTAGATAAATTAATGTTAACATTAGTCGTTCAAGTATTTGATTAATTATGAATCCCATCATAATAAAAGTATTCGACAGGAATGAATCAAAAAAACATACAGTGTATGGGAATATTTTATTTAGGAATACAACTATAGAGAAGCAAAGGAAAAATGTCACAAAGCGAAGTCAAAGAAATAAATACTGAATATCATTAGAATTCAGGCAGGTAGTCGTAAGTCACGTCCTTTCACAACTAGAAACAAAAAAAAATACTTTGATTAGTTAAGTGCCGTATAGTACTATCACAATGAGACATTTGAACCATCCTATTCGTCTGAGTTCCTCCTGACCGTTTGTTTTTCTCCCAAAATTCATTTCACTGAATTATACTTTTCGAATCACATCTTCGAACTCTAATCTAACCGTTCCTCAATGATCTGGCATTCCCTCCACTCTCATTCGACTCACGTAATCCACGCCAGCCTTAAGACGACGTTAAATCAGTTCACTACAATCAGTTGAAACGAAATCAAAGGATCATTCATCCTGATGCTCCGTTGACCGATTACCCGCCTGCCACCAGCTATTACGAAGTATCAGAAGGAATTATAGCCTGTCTAATTAGTCAGTGAGGACCAATGGAGTGAGTATTATTTCAGAGGTAAAAACACCACGTATGATGTTATCAATGTGAATCCAACTTATTTTAGTTGCTGGGCAACCAGTGATAATTACGCAGGGAGAAGAAGAACAAACCCTGTGTAAACTAAACTTTCAGATTGATGTTTGAGGCTGTTTTGTTTATAAGATTGAACTTTCTTAACCGTATCGATGGAAAAGAATCGAGATCAAAGAAATCACTTGGCTTATGGTAGCTCGTGAATTAGGTATTCAGGTTCACAATGTCGTCACACCTTTACCCAATAAAAGAGACATAAACTTCTTGGATCGAGTGCAGAGACATGCAACGAAATGGGTGATAGGGTTGAAAGATAAAGCTTACGAAGATAGACTATAGCTTTTGAAATTAATCGCCCACAGTTACAGGACAACCAGAGATGATATGACTATGGCGTTCAGCATGTTAAGCACGCCAAACCATCCCAACGTGAGCATCTTACCGATACATCACAACCACTCCCCTCGAGGTAATCATGTAAAAATTGCACATCAAAAAGCGGATTCTCGGGTTCGTGCACGCCTTTTCTTATTGACAGTCGTTGCAGCATGGAATGCTCTACCAGCCTGGGTGACCACAGCCCCTTCAGTGGACAGCCTTAATAAGAGACTTGATAAATGCGTACTCAAATACGGACTATCATCTCCCTCTTGGACAAGCTGTGCTTGATGCATATCTTGATACCTGCTAGTTGTTATATAGCCACCTCCTCAGATAACTAGCTTAATCTATCTAACTTATTATATTCGCTTCCTCTCCCTTGCTAGGCCTCTCGTAAAATCTTCACTACTAGTTGCTCACTTACTTAAGCTTGTCACCCCAAAGGAACATAGGCCGCAAACCACTGCTCTCTCCTTTCCAGTTCTGGTCAATTTCTGTTGATTCTTATCACATCTTTCTCTATTTCTCGGCGTAGTGTGTTTCTTGACGTTCCTCTTCTCCTTTTACCTTGAGGGTTTGATGTTGGGGCTTGTCCCGTGACGCATTCGGGTGCTTTCCTCAATGTGTGTCTTATCCACCTCCAGAGCTTCTTCATGATTTTCCCCTGTGCTGGAATCTGATTTGTTCTCTGCCACATGGGTTTTTGCTGATGGTGTCTGGCCAACGAATCCGAAACATTTTGCGTAGACAACTGTTAATGAATACTTGTATCTTCTGGATGATGGCTTTCGTAGTTCTCCAAGTTTCCGCTCCATACAGTAGAACTGTCTTGACATTTGTATTGAAAGTCCTGAATTTAGTGTTGGTTGATAGTTGTTTGGAGTTCCAGATGTTTTTCAATTGTAGAAATGCGGCTTTTGCTTTACCGATCCTCTCTTTCATATCTTCATCGAATCCGCCTTGATTGTCAATGATACTACCCAGATGTGTAAAGATTTTTTCATCTTCCAAGGCATCTCCATCAAGAGTGCTTTGTTGGCGCATTACCCTGTTGCGGCTGTTGATGTGACTACTGCTACACTGGTCGTCTTCTCTTGTGTTTGCTGTTGCGTATGAGATAGAAGGGCCATACCATCTGCGAGGTTCAGATCGGCTGTCCACTGTATATCGTGCTTTCTATAAGAGGTTGACGTCTTTACAATCCAGTCAATCAACGGAAGAAAGAGAAACGGTGAGAGTAGTCAACCTTGCCTGACACCAGTCTTCACCTCGACCAAGTCTGTCAGCTGTCCTTCGTGCACGATTTTGTAGATTAATCCATCATAAGAATTTAGTATGATGCTGACTACCTTCTCAGGCGTGCCATAGTGACGAAGATGCCTCCGTAGTGTCATCCTGTCCGTGCTTTCTCCTAGTCAATGAACATGGTGTAGAGTGGTGAGTTCCATTCAACTGACTGTTACACAATGATCCGTGATGTTGCGATTTGGTAGGTACATGATCATTCCTTAAGAAATCCAGCCTATTGAACTCGAAGTTGGGTGTCTGCGAAGTCCTTCATTCTGTTTAACAACACCCTATTGAAGATTCTACCTTTAAGCTAGAGAAGAGTGATACCTGTGTAGTTCTCACACTTGCTGAGATTTAACTCCCAATTTTTGGACTGAATCATTCGTTTATTTACTTAGTTCTGAAATCTTCTTATTGGCATTAGAATTTTCTCCTTATTATTCTCCAAACTGCAACTAAGTGACCTTCAGCCTCGTAACGTGAAAGCTGCTGGTATCAAGAAACAAACCTACTCATTCAAGTCACGGGGCATACAAACACAACCAACTGCCAACTGATTAGAATTAGTGCAGTCCGGTGTCTTGACCGTCATCCATTGGACACTATCAAACACTTGGAACTGTACCAAAAGAACAAGAATCGAGCGCAAGACCATCAAATGGTTCGTACTAGCTCGAGACGAAGATATTGGATATTGGATTCGGTATTGGATATTGGAGAAGACCACGTAATACAATTCTAGATAATACAGTCAGCGAGGAAAGCGTGTGTTCTCCCTTTTCATGTATTAACAGAATAACGTGTCTGCTGTAGTTTCAAGTCTTTCCTGCCTACCAATAAACGCTACTAACACGTGTTACACATGTCTGATCGTCAGTCTAGGCTGAAAGCCATTGAGTCATCTGTTAGGATAGTACCAGATTTTCCAAAAGAAGGCATTCTTTTCTGGTATTTTGCAACAAAAAGTGTGCTTTTATCCATGAAGGGACTTTTTCGGTGTTTTCAAAGATCCTGTCCTAACTCAATATCTATTGGATGAATTATATTATGAGGCTACATCCTTGGTAGGGCGGAAGGCTAACGTAAGTTATACCATGTCGTATTCATTGTACTTTAGAAGATAGACGCTATTGTGGGCCTGGAGGCTCGCGGATTTCTTCTTGGACCAGCTCTTGCTCTTCGTCTGCAGTGCTCATTCGTCCCTATTCGAAAAGAGGGAAAACTTCCTGGTCCCTGTTTTACTCATCAGTATACGCTGGAGTATGGAAGTGTAAGTTTGTGTTAAGGATGTATGACTCATAAAGGCTATCATTTTTGTAATAAAAGCCACATAAGTGACAAAGTAATACTTTGATTGACTAACTATTTAATTGAAAGACTCAGTACTAAACGACTTCCAAATCCCATCCTACTTGCTAGTTGGACTGGCTAAAGACGGTCTCAAGCGTGGTTGTTTATGTCATTGATTGGTTTTTAAAATAATATGGAGTCTGGGAGTGAAATAACAATGACATGCGCCTAATCACTGTCACTGCGTTAAATTTTTTGTGACCACCAGCTACAGTAACGAATCTTCAGTTCGCTAGTGTACATACGATGTGTTTCGAATTCGATTTAAATCGATCTGGAATATTTATGAGTGTCGCCCGCTTGTTATGCCGGTCTACTTTGTTAAAACCCAGCTATTCGTGAAGGCAATGGTAAACAGCCTCCACATCACTTCTTGGGAATCTCCAATGCAGAACTAGACAATAGGAAATAACGTCCAAATCTGGTTGGTTGTGGTTGTAAAAGATTACTAAAGTATAATCAGCGATGACTGATTCGGATATGGGATATCCTCTTCATGTATGGTAGATACAGAGTGTAAGTACTTCTCACGGAGGTTTGAGAGTTGAGCTGCCATTTGGAGTCACTCAAGTGTTAACTTCTTCACACTGAGAACAGTTTTCCACTGAATCCAATACTCTTGGCGAAGCATCATGGAATAGTTCTGATAGCTAGAATCAGGCGAAACCAAATGTCTACATAAAATTTTAATAGATATTTGTCTTATTCAACATAGTTCAAGACTATAGTCTCCATTTTTTCCTACCTGTTTGTGACTAGGATACTTTACAAATTCAAAAGGATTCTCTAAAGCCCGGCGACAATGTAATACTGTTTGATGATGTTTTGGCCACTGGCGGAAGTCTGGAAGCTGCCGTCAACTTGGTAAACCTAACTGGGGCTAAGGTTATATCCAGCTTGGTGTATTTGGAACTGAAGTGTTTGTCTGGACGTAAAAGAATTGAAGACCATAACATTCATGTCCACTCCATTTTCCACACCTGAACATGCTTTCATGTGTAGAAGTGCCTTTCTTCAAAATTCGTGCCTTTATTATTTGACGTTAGTTGTTTTACCTACACATACGAAGTAACAAAACATCTCTGAGTTAACACATTATTGTTAGTCACTAGAATGTAATTCTTAAGTAGTTAAGTTCATTTGTGTATGTAGATGTTTACTTTATTCGACTATCTGTTTCCTATCATTTTAACTGTAACTGTTTGGAGATTTTTTTGTATTACCAATAGGCTTTATTTGTACTGTGTCTGTATTTGTGAGCCTCATTGTGTGGATTCAGTTTGCTTCCAACTGTATTCGTGACTATTTGTTCACTGTATAGACCGATTCAATGGGACTGCTCCTAACCAAAATAGTGTTGTGAGAGTGCATTGTATGTGAATAAAGTGAACGATTTAGAGCTCACAGTATTTGACGTTGTCATTCACACATGCACTTCTAACAGTTTTGTTAGACAGTCTTGATGTCGATTGTCATTGCATCAGATTAACTGTAGAGACCTGTGCGGTCTTGGAGAAAAGTTTAGATGTTTAGTGTTCTAGCATAGTTGTATTGTGTTTGAGGCCCAGTAGCGGTTCAAGTTCGTAGATGACGGATATAGCCTTCGTGCTTTAATGGTAGATGTGGTAGTAATGAACAAGGCTCCTAAGCATTGGGATGAGTGAACAGAATACCGATGGATGAGTGATGTCCAGTACCTGCATTTTCCCCCGACCTTAGCTGCTACCTTGACGTGGTGGTCGGGCTTGCCTATCGTGATGACCCAACTGAGCTATTTTGGCCGGGCATATATTCCTGAAGGTTCCATCATGCCAAGCAGGCCGATTGGAGAGCGATGAGACTAAAAGCAGCTACTCAAGGTCTGAGGACGAAGTCGTACTGCTGACTGTGATGGAGGGGTGTTTCAGCAGTAAGGTGTTTCCCTAGGACAACCAGCATCTGCAGCTATGCTGCCTTCCCACAAGGAAGGAGGGGTTAGCAAAGGTCGACCCTAACAATGTCACACCTTTCCCTACCTCATGGATTTCCGTCTCCTTGGGTAAGGGTGTCCACTAACGGCTTTAAAGAGCGGAGCTAATACTAGGAAAACCTTTCGTCAAAAGGCCGTGTGTGACCGGCCTCAAGCAGTTGTCCCTTGGACTCTGCGGTCACGCACCCAGGTCTCTAAGACGGACAACAATCTACATTCTTTTTCAGGTCCCTCAAGAAACCACCTTCCACGATGTGGGCAGATGGTAAGTGACAACCGCCCTCATACCCGTAACAGCACGCGAGACCAAATCGGATCCTTCCTACACCCCCTAATATCTACCTCCTCTACACGATTAACTCTTCTCACATTCCTTTATCACACTGCGCTGCTAATGCAAACGATGCGAGTTCACAAAAAGTCGTTCCTGGTTTCCTTAAACCCCGTTCTATACTACGTGTTGGAGCATTTAGTGTACGGACATTGTTTCAAATTGGGCAACAGGCATCCTTAGCTAGGACTTAAGAATCTCGCTCAATCGATGTGTGCTGCGTCTCGGAAACGCGCATACAGGATCCTAGTAAAATCAATAATCTAATTTCACCTTATCAAAATAAAGAAGCATCCCGATTTACCCTTCGTGTATCCGTTAGCCCTGATGCTGTTTCCCGAGGTCTCGCTGGTGTAGGTATAGTATTGAGTCGTAGGGCAGAACTAGCTCTCCTAGACTGGATCCCTGTAGATAGTCGCTTGTGCGCTGTCCGACTGAACGGGACAGTAAGGATTCGGAAAGATAGGGACACTCGCCGTTGCCTCTTCGTCGTATCTGCCTATGCCCCCACTGACTGCAGTTCAGACGAGGTGAAAGATGAGTTTTACAGAAAGCTTTCGAACCTCCTCCAAACAGCTAGGCGCTCCGATCTAGTAATAATGGCTGGTGATTTTATTGCTCAAGTAGGTAGACTAAGGGAGCAGGAAAGACATCTGGGTGGATGTTGTGGTGTCTCGGCTCAGAGAACAGACCATGGCGACCGTCTGTTGCAACTATGCTCAGATAACCGCCTATTCCTAGCAAACACTAACTTTAGGCAAAAGGAAAAACATCTGGCGACCCCCGAAATCGTCTCAACGTTGGACCCAACCAGATCACATCAGCCATCGATGGAGGGGTTCGGTAGAGAACTGTCGCTCTTGCTGAGGCACATGTTTGGATTCAGATCATGCCTTAGTACGAGCACGTATTTGTTTGAGGCTTACTGGACGTAGGAAAGGCACCGCGAGGAAACCTCTTAGGGTTCTACTTAATGACAATGAGGCTAAGAATATATTCCAGGAACAACTAGAAAGAGAGTTAGGCAACAATGTAAGTGATTCTCATCCGGAGGCAGGTTGGAATGATACCAAAAAGGCTGTGAAAACAGCAGTGATATCTGCTAGTAAGGTAAAACGTAAGCCGTGGATCTCAGTAGCATCCACCGAACTGATAGAGGCTCGAGAACTCATCCCATCTGGCTCTGAACATGATGAAGAACAAAGTCAGCTTAGGCGCAGGCTGATAAAAAGCCTACGTAACGACCGTGAACAGTGGTGGGTGGCAAAAGCGAGAGAGATGGAAAAGGTAGAGGCGATAGGCAACAGTAGGCAACTATTTAGACTCATCAAGGAAACTGGTATTAGGAACCCGAATGTGAGTGAGACTATTTCGGAAAAGGATGGTCTTATTATCCATTCTCAATCCAGGAGACTGGATCGATGGGCAGAACACTTTAGGGATCAGTTCAACTGGCCTCGAGCCACTTTTCGGTTACCCACGATCTCCAGTCATCCTGAATGGCAAATCGACGTAAGTGCCCCTAGTCTTTATGAAGTTGAGAAAGCGTTAGGAAATCTGAAGCGAGAGAGAGCAGCAGGACCCGATAGACTGACCCCTGAGCTATTTAAGAATGGTGGTCCAGTTTTAGCGGCTAGGTTGACTGAGATCTTAAGTAGAATATGGGAACTGGACGTAATCTTATCCGAGCTAGATTGACTGAGATCTTAGGTAGAATCTGGGAACTGGACGTAATCCCATCCGACTGGTCTCAATCACTGATTGTCCCAATCTATAAGAAAGGACAGAAGTCTTCTTGTGACAATCACAGAGGAATAAGTCTAACTAAAATTTTGGCCTCAGTAATACTTCGACGCTTAACGAAAGCTCGTGAAGAGCAAACTCGAGAAAACCAATCTGGTTTTCGACCTGGACGTGGCTGTATAGACCACATTTTCACACTACGACAGGTCCTGGAACACAGACACACATTTAGGCGTCCTACAATAGTTGTTTTCCTGGACCTTAAGGCGGCATTTGACTCTGTGGATCGTGAGGTTCTGTGGCAGTGTCTGTCATTGAAAGGTGTACCAAAGAAGTACATTAACCTTATACAAGCACTCTACTCGAACACCACTGGTCGAGTGAGAGCTTATGGAGAACTGTCACGGGAATTAGTTACTTCAAGTGGTGTCCATCAGGGATGTCCAATCTCTCCATTCTTGTTTAATTTTATCACAGACATGCTCCTAGATATAACATTATCCTCGTCTGAATTTTCAGGAGTAGACCTTCTACCAGGAGGCTCGCTTATCGACCTAGAATATGCCGACGACATAGTCCTACTTGGTGAAGACGCTGACAACATGCAGAGTCTTCTGACCACCCTAAGCAACAATGCGAGCATGTTCGGGATGCGGTTTTCCCCCTCGAAATGCAAAATGTTGCTTCAAGATTGGGTTGTATCGGCACCTGAACTAGTGATAGGGAGTGAAGTAGTTGAGCGTGTTGACTACTTCACTTATCTTGAGAGTCTCATCAGTGCTGGTGACTGACGAAACCCCAGCATAGATACAGAAGGCTTGATTGGCTTTTGCCAACCTGCATCACTTATGGCGCAGACGAGATATCCGCTTGTTAACTAAAGGACGAGTGT